GCAATAAGTAACATAATCGTTCACAATTATACCTGAAATGCAATATCCAACCACGACTTCTCTCACAGCACACAATTTTTTTGCCAAAATTTTCGATCACATCTGTACACATTTCCGGTGGTATCTTACGAATAATCCGCCGAATCTCATCTTTCAACTCTTAAATTGTTTGGGGGATCGTTAACATACGTTTTGCTTTTGATGTTACCCCACAAAAAGTCTAGTGGCGTTAGATCGCAAGATCTAGGCGGCCATTGACATCCTCATTTCTTGAAAGAAGTTTATCTTCAAACCCTGTTTGCAATAAGTCAATGGTTTATCTTGCTGTGTGACATGTTGCGCCGCTTATATCAAAATTAAAGCGTATGTGAACAATCTCCAAACAATTCAAGAGTCGAAAGATGTGATTCGGCACATTATTCGTGAGATACCACCGGAAATGTGCACTGATGTGATCGAGAAAATTTTGGCAAAAGAGTTGTGTGCTGTGAGAAAAGTCGCGATGGCTATTTGTTGGATATTGTGTTTCACGTATAATTGTTAACGATCATGTTACTTATTGCTATAAAGTATTAAATGTTTCCTAGTTGGCTTTTCGTTGGAATTGAGAAAAACATCCGGAAACTCTTACCAGAACACCCTATATATTTTTGTATGACCCTGTATAATATTTTCTAAGTGTGTTTTCACATGCGCCATTCTTGTAGTGTTTGTTTTGAAAAGAAATAATGACGTCAATAGCTATATTTTACATAAAATCGTAGTCGGCTGCGATATTCAAAAACGTCCCGAGGTACTAAGGTACTCTTCTAAACTGGTACTAAGGTAGTCTTCTAAAATCTACTCAACCCTCCTTCCAGCAGAATGGGGTGAACCCAAACTTTCGTAAAGAAATCGCCAACTTATGTTTCAACCTGTATCTTTCAGCAGGTGGACGGAAATCTGTTAGCAAATGGAAATTAATTAGCACTTAGATCAGCCTTTCACTCCTGAAAATTTAAACAAATTCGGCCAGCTAGATTTCTAGTTACGGTCTCACAAAAAGTGACCAAAAATTGGGGTGTTCGAGTTCGATTGATGCGTAGAAATTCACCTGACCGTCATTCTACCACTTGCACATTCAAAAACGCGTTGGTATTCTGCATACACATTGATGTTTTTGTTCGCGCGTTCATGTATGTGCGTACATGTTTTCAGACATCCACGTCCGTGTGTAACCGCCTTTACACACAAATCCCGGTTACATTCTTCATTCATACTCTCTCTCTCATTAAAATTACCAGTTCAGTCTACCCATTCCGATAAATAACCCCCTCAAAACTGTCACGCCACCACCACCAAAAGCCTCTCTTACTTCCATGCATTCTTCTCTATAGCTCTCACGCGTTTCTCTACATACTAATACAGGCCCGTCATTCTAATACAACGTACATCTGCATTCATTCACAAACAAGCATCCCTAACATTCAGCTACTCCCCAGTGTCTATGCATATTAGCCCAGTTTATTCGTGCTCTTCGATGGACTGTTTTTAATAATGGACATGCTGTCTGGCTCTTAAATTTCTCTCATGAAGACGTCTTTGAATTGTTGATTTTGAGGCTTCATGCAATTCCTAAAGCGATCCTTATTCGCGAAAAATTGAGAGCTCTGTTGAAAGCACTGGTAAAAGAATTCTGTTGTCATCCCGAGCCGAAGTAATTCTTGGTTTACCACCTGCAATGTCTATAAGCAGCGGTGCCAGTGTTAAACCCCATTTTATTGGCCATAAAATTGCGCGACATTGCCCTAATTTAACGGACCTCGTATCTTTAATAATAACCAAGATACCTCTGGTTAGAAAAATAGACACACTGTATATTTTTGTATGACCCTGTATGATATGTTTTAAAGTGTGTTTCCACATGCGCCATAATTGTAGTGTTTGTTTCGAAAGAAATAATGACGTCAATAGCTATATTTTACATAAAATCGCATAACTCAAGATAAAATCGTAGTGGGCTGCGATATTCAAAAAATCTCAAAAGCGTCCCGAGGTACTAAGGTGCTCTTCTAAACTGCATACCAAAAATCTGCTTAACCCTCCCTCCAGCAGAATGGGGTGAACCCAAACTTTCGCGATAAAATCGCTACCTTATGTTTCACCCTGTATCTTTTAGCAGGTGTCCAGAAATCTGTTAAGAACTGGGAATTAAATAGCAAATAGAGCATCCTTCCACTCCTGAAAATTTCAACAAAATCAGCCTGCTAGATTTTGAGTTATAGCCTTTCAAAAAGTGACCAAAAATTGGGGTGTTCGAGTTCGATGGACGCGTAGTTTAGTTCGAAACTGTTTCGCATGCGCAGTTCAAGTAATGGTGTTCGCGGATCACAAAATTCCGAACTTTTAGTTACGGTTCTGGATTCGCGGGGATCAACCAGAATCGGTTCGGAACCGTTTCTGAACTAGTTCTAGCGGTCCTAGGATTTTAGCAAGAACTTCTGATTGACACAACGTTCGTTTACGTATTTAGACAGTCTGGAGAACTCGTTCCAAAACTGTTCGCGATAATATAATGGCGTTTTCCATGGCTCGTGGAGAGTCAGTGCAGTTTGTTTTGTGCTTGTTTATATGTACCATATAGGGTGTTTCCTTATACATATTTTGACCCCTACCTACAGCTTTAGCTATACGAGGTGCCCGAGGTGGAAAAAAACTTTAGATATGAAAGTTGTAGGGTTTTATGTCTATTATCTTTTGCGAATGTCAAAACGGGCAAATGACAGGTGCCAACTGTTACAATAGTTGTATTCCTTTCAAGAGTTTGAAACACTTGAGCTACTCGCTCCGGTGTTTAGAAGCCCCCGATTTGCAGGGAACAGATGCGTGGTACGACAAACAGTTTTCGAAAGGAATAAGCGCGTGAAGCCCCGGAGCTGTTTCGGAGCTCCTCCTAGATGTGAAAGGAATACAACTATTGACAAACACTTGCATTTTTCAAATGGAACGGCCTGTATATTTTTGGCTAGAATGATAGTTTTTTCTCTTCTGATTCCAAATATGCCATATATGTTGATATTTGGTTCAATTGTTTTTGCGCTTATTAATTTTAAAATTGCATTGAGCAAGCCTCATCATTGATATAAGAAACCAGGACAGATTAAATTAAGGGTAATGTAAATGCATTTTTAAACTTCAATAGCGCAAAAACAGCTGAACCAAATATCAACATATATGGTATATTTGGAATCAGAAGAAAAAAATCTATCATTCTAGCCAAAAATATACAGGGTGTTTCGTTTGAAAAATGCAGGTGTTTGTCATTGTGACAGTTGGCACCTGTCATTTGCCCATTTTAACATTCGCAAAAGATAATAGACATAAAACCCTACAACTTTCATGTTTAAAGTTTTTTTCCACCTCGTATAGCTGTAGGTAGGGGTCAAAATTTGAGGAAACACCCGTACATAAATTGTACGTGCTGTAGCACTTTTGGATTTATTATGTAGCATCAGCGAAGATGAGTCCGATGACGAAATTATATTATTTGAATGAATTCTACAGCTTATCTAGGTTGTTTTTAGATATATACAGTAACCGCCAAAAAGTTGGCAACAAGTGGGAAAATATTTTATTATTAGGATATTAAAAAGGATGTTACGTAGGATCAATTCAGCATACCTATCAACAACAAAAAAGCACTGTGACAGATGTCATGTGACCACAGTCATGGCGGGAAATTTAAAAAGTTCGCCTTAAATAGGTATGTAAAAAGTGGGATTAGATGACCAGAAATCGAAAAGTTGTAGAGAGAAAAGTGGTTCAGGATTCGATTTTACGTCCATTTGTTAATTTTTGAAAAGGTACAAGGATTTTTAATAAATATCAATTTTTTGGTCTGTTTTCTGGTAATTTGAAGAATATCAAAAACTTTTCGCAAAAATATTGGTTTGATTGAATTTAGAAAAGAGGTATTGGATCATTAAGAACGATTTTATGATATTTCCAAATTTGTTATTTCAAATTTTCGTTTTCTGTAGGTCATTGCAACAAGACCAGAGTGGTCTGAAAATGAATTTTTGGTTTATTACAATTTTCCGCGGGACAATTAAGCAGAATGATTGCACTGGGTTCTTTTTTGTTAGTTTCACTTTGAATTATGTGAACCAAGCGAAAAGTTTTTGAAATTTTTCAAATTACCAGAAAACAGGCCAAAAAATTGATATTTAATAAAAATCCTAGTACCTTTTTAAAAATTTACACATAGACGTAAAATCGAGTTCTGAACCACTTTTCTCTCTACAATTTTTCGATTTCTGGTCATCTAACCCCACTTTTTACATATTCAAGGCGAACTTTTCAAATTTCCCGCCATAACTGTTGTCACATGACATCTGTCAAAGTGCTTTTTTTTGTTGATGGGTATGCTGAATCGATCCCCCGTAACATTCTCTTTGATATCTTGTTGTTGTAAGTTGTTGGCGGTCACTGTATATTATATTGTCTGATGAATAACTCTAAATTATTTACAGATAGTCCAATTTCTTTTAAATTTAACGGCAGGTGGAACCGCGGGGAAGAAGCTGTTATGTTATGTTATTATCTGAACCATCGATCTAAATTTATGAGATGACTTCTTCATTGATTCTTAAATTCATTTCAAATGTATTGAAAAAATTTCATGCAAAGACCAAAGCATCAAAAAATATATTTATTGTTACTTTTGAGAAGGCGGTGGAGGGGCGCCAAAATTTGGACTTGCCTTTGGCGCCGAGGGTTCTAGTTGCGGCCCTGTTCAAAATTGACACTTTAGGATCAAAAATTGCCTATCAAGCCGGTAACCTGATTTTATTTAACAATAAAATGAATAAATAAATTATCAATTAAGCATTCTATTGACATTAACCCCCACCTTCCCTGCTTTTATTAAATCCTGGCCAATCAGAGAGCTGCATAATGCGCGGCGCTCAGGTAATACTGACCGGACCGAACTGAGAATTTCAAATCTCGTGCCATTATTCGACAAACTTTCGTAGTGTTCGCATTGTGACTGATCGTTTCTCGAACGACACGCGATCTTTTTACGGAAACTTCGTGCCAAAATAAAATGACATTATAGTGACTTAATTTTTAAACACAATTTAAAACGTTAATCAGTGTATTATTATTAACAATTATGGCCCTTTATCGTATTTTGAGTTTTGTATTTGCACTTGTTGGACTAAAAGTTGCCTTTGCCATAGAAGATTATTGTTCTGTAAACACTTTCCAGGACGGTGGTGATGGTATGCGACTTACCAAAGAGGCTACCAACGAGGAATTCGCTATTGTTGGTAAATTTAAAGGGCTGCATTGTTGCGCGAAAGGATATAAAAGTATTGAATGGTAAGTTAAACAATTTTCCCGGATATTATTTTTTTTTGCAGATACTTACCTATATGTTATTTTTTAGTTAAGTATTGAAATTATTGCTTGAATATTGAAATCTAAAACTGATAATTATTTTGTATTTTGAGTAAACAGAATTTGCATTATTATTGTTGTATTACAAGGAATTATTTACCGTCAAGCAATTCCACGTACTATTGCGCAAGGTTTGGTATTTTATTTATCCTATATCCTAGATAAGATGAGGATAGTATTAAATGAACAACAGTGAAAACTCAAAATTGATATTGTAGGTACCAGATACTTTCATAAATTTCTGACATGAGTTCATGGCCTAAAACAATAAATAATTTCACATATGAAATGTAACCCAAAACCCAGCAAATATGTTTGTACTTAATACCTAACTGCCTCGACACATGTTAATTTGCATGTTCCGTGGGAGACTCGAGACTCGACAACTTATAGGCAAATTATAACGTTTATGAATGAAATAACGGGGCATTTAGTAGTAAAGTGGCGTTTTCAATTAACTAGACTCAATGGATTTAGCACACCAACATTTCCATGTTCAAAGATTTAAGTTAATAAGGAATCCACAAGTTGTTCATAGTGTTTAATTGAGGCGCGCAACCTCGGGGAAAATCCTTAAAAACATGACTCATCAATAGACACCATTATATTCTTCAATAGCTTTTAATAAATCTCTATTACCCTACCAAACACTTTCATCAAAAACCCCGACAACTTTTCTAATTAGGCATGTGGGAATACAAAAATAAATCAGAAATTTTATGCTTCATTTTCGGTCAGTTTCAGTTTTACTAACAATGGCGCATTGAATTTTAGATAATTACTTTTTGATCCAGGTTCAAAACGTACCTACCTACTTACTTTCCTGCATACTAACACAACACCGTGAAAGAGATCGTGATTAAAAATATTAATTTGTTCGTTTCCAATTAATTTTCTTCGCTGTCAGGCGGAAGTGGCTATCGAAAATCTCCTATAAAGGATGGACAATAAAGACTTGCTGGAATACTGATATTAAATTGCAACAATTCCTTGAACCCATAACGTTGTCAAATACTAATTTTACACTTACCTGACTTTTGTTGGTCATAAATCATCCTTTTAGAAAATTATTCAAAAATCCCAGTCATGGATGGTTTATTGCCCCACTCCTATGACTCTTTTGTCCGGAAGGTTGTAAATAAAACCTCTTGGTTGGCAAATTATCGAAACAGAAAAAGTTTGTAAGTATTAATATCAATCGTGTTTCAACTTGTTCTCTAGTAAGAAGAAATAATTATTACGTCATTTAGAAACAATTAAAACTAATTTGTTAGAGAATGCTGACATTAAGTCAAGTAGGTATTTGCATTTTTGTCGTTAAATGTAACGAACTATGCTATTATTATTTGCATTTTACAAATTCTAAATAAAAACAGTACCTACAGGTTTCTAGCTCGGTTTCTGCACTTGTTCCTGCATTATCACAGAAATATTTTGATTTCACAGTTTTTCAAAAAATAGGTACCTAAGTATATACCTTTACATAATTAGCCACAATCAAGCTATGTTCAACGTTTTTAGGAAGTATTCTCAGTGGTTGGATCATCGTTTGGTCTTTCAACGTGTTCGTGTTCAGTTTTTACATTGGTAGGTACGGTGCGAGAAAAGTAGGTACTTATGTTTACCAAAAGTACGCTCAAAAGAATTGGGCGTTGAGAGGAAGAACAGAAAAATACTTAAACAATGGTAAACTCATTTCAACTGGACACTGACTTGATGGCAGATTAGGAACATGAACATTTATATGTACCTATATTCTATATTACCAACAATGCTCTGCGTTGTTTACAGTCTACGGGATAAGTCAATTCCCGAATATATCCATCGGGAATAAATGGAATCAAGCAGAAGAAATGTAATAGTAATAATAACCCAAGGACATTGATAATTATTGTTCGAAAACATTTTATAACAGATTTCGAATGCTTGTTACTTGAAAACAGACCACAGAACCTTCGCTACTGAAGATACCAGTGACACATGTTAGATTCAGGGATTTTGATGATTTCTGATAAAAATCATAGCTTATTTCTTATTTGTCTTCTACACATACCTACCAATTTGTTTCGATATAGGTATATTTAAATTCCTAAATTAAAATGGACCAATTTTCTAGTGCAAGAATAACCTACAACCTACCTCAACAATACATTACATTCCTGCCAGTCATTGATGGTTTATTATCTCAGCTTTGTTTGGTTCCTAGGGTTTAAATAACACCTTTGTTTATCAGTTGGCAGTTATCTAAAAAGAAAAGATGTCTATCGATCCTGTTCCAACTTGTTAAAATAAAACAGCATATCTATTGCGTCATTTTTTGAAATCCAATTAGTATTTCTTATTAATTTCAAAAACAGAAATAAAACCTGCCTCATTACAAATATTGGTATCATTTTCTGGGAAAGATATTTATGAATTTTATGATAAAAATGCTAATTAAACTAACACAAAACATCGTTAGCCGATACTGATAAGAAAAACATATTATTCTGGGAAAATCGAGTTTTGTGCATTATACTACAAGCGCCTATTATTGAATTATAGATTTTTTGAACACGTTTCAACGTGTTTATTTGCATTCAAAATCCGTTCTCAAGATAAAAACTACCTTTTCTTATTCAGTTCACCCCAAATGGACACATCTTCATTTTTCAAGTGGCTTGATGTCACTTTCAGATTAAGCCGCTTCGGTTCCGGGAAACCGTCCCTTGAATATAGGGATTTCGCTACCTTCTTTGCCACCTTTTGCTAGAAAGAGCACAATAATCCGCCCTCCTGTCGAGTGAGGGATTTGGGAGCATTTCTAAGAAAACATGAACATTCCTTATGATTTATGGCGAAAGAAACGCACAATATAATATATTGTAATAATTCGGTTGATTGTTTTCCAAACAATAAGACAAAATTTCATGTCGATGAACAACGAAAGTGATTCTCAAAACTCTACCTAGACATAAATACCATGTAGCCTTTTCGATTTTTTTAAAGTATATGTAACTTGTGCGTATGTTTCCACTGAACAGGATATTTTGGTGTTCGATATTTTTCATGAATGTCAATAAATTCGATATTTTACTTGAACTGCAACTGGAAATGAGCCTATGAGCCACCCTATTTATAATATTTTTAATACCCATTTAGAATAACCTCATCCTTATTTATCGATCACGAATCAGATGAATCAAAAAATTACCAACAAAAACGAATGTCGATTGCTAATACGTCAAAATGTACAAATAGGAAATTCCTAACCTAATTTTATTTGTGTGTTCAAGAAACGACAAACGTTTAGTCACTAGAACGACTGGTACTTCTAAATAGTTATTAAAAATTCTATAGTAGGTTGGCTTTGAGATAGTTTCACAGCAGGTTTTTCGGAATATTACATTATTGTTGTCGATTTGAGCTTCAGCGATTGTTTAAGAGAGATGAAGAATTGTTGGCTTGATTCAGTTTCTATTAGATCTTGCTCATAACTGCTTTCATTAGTGTCACTATTCTGATTTCTGTATACCATATGCTTCATTTGAGTTCAGGTTGCGACTTTGCGACGATATTTGACACAAAGCGGCCGCTTTTTATAAATTTTTTAATACCTAATATTTCTTCTCGGTCTATGGTAGAATTTTTTTCTCAAAGGGGGTGTGACCCAAAAATAAAAGTTTTAGTGCAAAAAAATCCAAGAATGAATATTTAAACCGCATCTTGGTACGATGGTCCGTTTTCGAGTTAGGGCGGTTTAAAGTTACAACTAGGTGTTTGTGACGTCACACTGGATTATCAGGGACAGTATTAACAGGTGTAAAAATTTTCCAAAACAGAAGACAATTATCTCCTAGAGCGAATTGCAATCATTCAATGTATGGGGTACGGTCCACTGACGACTGAACGAACAGAAGACTGCGATTTCAGCGGTTGTGACATCACAAGTTCCTGCATAATTTATCTTCACAAGGAATTTTCTCGGAAAATATTTTGAATATAGGACTGCGGGTTTCACGAGAGATCTTAGATTTTTTTTCCTGATTTAAGTAGCTTAATATTGTGTATTTGCTGAACGAACAATACGTTTTCTAAATAATTCTATATTAGACTGACACATTTACAAAGACATATGACAAGATGAACCATAGAGACAAGAGACAATTAAACAAAAACTATTGCCTACTTATACTACACTTAAGTCGTTTTTTAGAGTCACATCCCCTTTATTGTCTTCAATCATCGTCTTATGAATGTTTCCCTGTTGTCCTCGATTATTTCTCAATGATCCTTTGAATCCTGCTCCGATGTGTTTGCTGATTCATAGTCTGCCTTCCGTCCCTATAAGTTTCTCTACTCTTTTGTGCGAGTCCACCATTGAGCTTGAGCTGAGATAACAAGTTTACAAGCGGGGCTCCCATAACCAGAATGTTTCTGCTCTGCCTATGTCATTTGTCTATTATTATTATTTTATTTCAAACTAGGATGCCTTATTTGCTTGGTTCCCGGATGATATTTGATTTTTAGGTCATCTCCCTGTTGCCTTCTGGTACTATGATTTAGAACTTCACCACGCATGTGAGGGTCAGGTTTTTCTAACTTTAGGCAAGGTTTTGTTTTTTGCTGTCATTTCAGTGCTTCTTTATTCTTCAATGTAGGTGATAGGATCACCGATGGACATCTCTTAAGCTAGAAGAGCAAAGTCAGCAGAATCGAAAATCAATACATGGAACATTGAAGGCTCATTAAAGGCTAATTAAATGCCATAATGAGAAATTTTAGGCTCCTTGAATTTTCGCGAAAATGAGTGTTCTGCTAGCTTTAACTTAAGCCAGCAGAACATGAGCGAAAAAGTGGCCAAAACAACAAAAATTGCAATTTCACTTGCACAGACATTGAACATTAAAGGCTCTCGAAATACACCAATCCCAAATTTCAGG